CGCAAATTTCAAATCTGCATCATTTGAACTGACCGGCCCTGTAAAAAAAAAAAAAAAAGAACTGACCGGCCCTCGGCAATGCCTGTTTCTCAATGAGTATTGCTACTCATTGGAACTCCATTGGAACTCGTTGGAACTCGTTGGAACTCATTGGAACTCATTGGAACTCATCTGCTTTATCTGCTTTGAGTGGAGTTCGAGCTCAGATCTGTATTTCAACACTCGAAGGGGGTTGTACCAACTGAGCTGTGCCTTCTTGCACCGAGTACAACGTACGGTAATTATAGCTGTATTTCGACTGAAAGATGCCCCAAATTCAGCTATGATGACCGTACGTTGTATTCGGGGGAAGGCTGTAGGCCAGTTGGTATTGACACTTCTTTTTTTTTTTTCCTTTTTTTTTTTTAGACTTGGCACTTGAGACCGAGGTCGCCGGTTCGAAACCGTGCTTGCACGTGGAAGGTCTTATGCCCAGATGTATGTATCTGACCGCAATTGCAGCTCCATCCATCCAGATGAATCTGACAGCTATGACGTCTGGAGACTAATTAAAACAAGTCCCCGGTGTGAATATGCCCTCAGCAGCTGCTTTGGCTTCGAGACCACCGACACGTCGACATCTGCTGCCGCGTGTCACAGTTAATTGGGTCTGCCACGCATCAGATGCTGACGTCAGTAGTGTGCCACGTGTCATCTGAACAGGTCAGTGGCCAGATGCATCTCATTGGAGGTGATAGCGGTCAGGTGCATCTAGAAAGACGTGACACGTGGCAGACAGTGGGAACATGGTTGCCTGACGCGTGTCACACTTGAGAGGGTGTGCCATGTGGCACATGCCCAGGTTGGCAGACGTTTGGGCACATGGATACGTGACACGTGTCAGACTTCAGAGAGCGTCTGCCACGTGCCAAACGCGCAATTGACAAACGTCTGCCACGTGTCATCTGCCGCACGTCCGTGGCCAGATCGACGTCTGGACGTGATAGTGGTCAGATGCTTCTAGAATAAAGTGACATGTCACATTAAACACATGACACGTGTCACACTTGGAGATCGTCCGGCATGTACACAGGTGCACGGCAGCAGCGTCTGCCACGTATCACCTGCGAACGTCAGGAGCGTCTGCTTACGTGTCACGTGCGCTTGTCCCGACCGTCTGCCACGTGGCATAATGTTCCCCGAGACGGAATGGACGTGTGTCTGTCCGTCTGTCCTTCGGGACATCCGTTAAAATTTGAACGATACAGAGAAGGGCAAATTAGCAAATGGCCCCCGCGCTTTCAAGGATGACACGCATAAATCGAGGAATGAAATGAACCTGTCTGTCCCTATCTACGAGACACGTGTGCTGAGCAAAGCGAAAACTGAAAATTAGCCGCGAACGGCAAAGTCAGAGTAGCACGTTCTTGGATGTATCTGGCCGAAGTTGCAGCCTAGCCTGGATATATCTGACCGCAATTACGTCCAGAGATCGACAGAGAGAGTAAGGTCCTACCGGTAGTGTGAGGATCTCTAAGAAATTACGTTTACCTTTCCGTGTGAAGATGGGTAGTCTACTTGGTGGGCGTCGTGGACATCAGCTGACGAGCGCAGCCCGGAGTTGCATCCCCGTTTCGCCTGTATCCGGTCTGAAAGTCGCACCCAATTCAGGTAATGAATGGGCCTTCTATTCGTGTGAATTCTGCGCCCGAAGTTGCATCCCCGTCTGGCCTGTATCCGGTCTGAAAGCCGCACCAAATTCAGGTAATGAATGGGCCTTCTATTCGTGTGAAGTCTGCGCCCGGAGTTGCATCCCCGTCTGGCGTGTATCCGGTCTGAAAGTTGCACCAAATTCAGGTAATGAATGGGCCTTCTATTCGTGTGAAGTCTGCGGCCGGAGTTGCATCCCCGTCTGGCCTGTATCCGGTCTGAAAGTTGCACCAAATTCAGGTAATGGGTGGGCGTCATGGACATCAGGTGACAGGCACAGCCCGGAGTTGCATTCCCGTCTGGCCTGTATCCGGTCTGAAAGTTGCCCCAAATTCAGGTAATGAATGGGCCCCTTCTATTCATGTTAAGATGGGTAGGCTTACTGGGTGGGCGACATGGACATCAGGTGACACGCACAGCCCGGAGTTGCATCCCCGTCTGGCCTAGCACGGAGCCGCTGAGGGCATACTCGCACAGAAGCACTTTCTTCCATGGATTGGGGACTGCAATTACGGCTAAACCTAGATGCACCTAACTGCAATTACCTCCACAGAGCCGTCGAAAAAGTCCCAGTGTGAGTACGCCCTTCCCCGTCATTCTGGTCTTTTGGAGGGTCCCAGTGTGAGTACGCACACTTTCCTCCTTGCAGGGTCTGCCAGGGCCCAGGAGTGTCGCTTACCTTAGGAAGTGATGTAGGTTCCAACCTCCAGTTTTAGGGTTGAGGGGCAGAGTGTCAAGCACGGACGTTGGGTTAGCCGATAGCCGGTTGCTCTCGTTCTTTTTGTTTTGTTTTGTTTTTGTCGATGCTTTCGAGTTTGCCGTAAGGTGGTTGGTCCCCAGGGACTGGGTCATGCTAATAAGCGAAGGCTCTCCCGTCATCTGTGTGCCTTCTGGGTAGAGTGTGAGGACTCCAGACTCTTTCTGTTTATTGCAATGAAGTGTTGGACGATATATATAGTATAACCTCCATGTGCATTGAGTAGGTTGATAACGAGGGAACCAAGATTATGCATAAATGTGCAACATGCCCGAGAAGACTTCACTGAAAGCAGTGAGATAAGTAAAAAAAAAAAGCTATACAGAGAGAGAGAGAGAGAGAGGAGTGGTGTTAATATATGATGCGCTGTACGATACAGAGATGAGGAGCTTTGTAGGACATTTGGGGGATTGGGTGGAGTCTTCGGTCTTAGGGAAGTTGTCTTTTGCCCTCCATCCCTTTATGGACTGAAATATATGCGTTATATATATATATATATCGTCACAAACAGAACTGCCCGGTGAACCGTAGGCAGAGAGAGAGAAGAGGACATATATGTGCAAGTGTGCCGGTTCGGCGGCGGACTGGTGTGTGGGCACGTGGCCCTGAACCACACAAACGTCTCCGGTTGTGCATTTCTTACTGTCTTGCCTATCTATACTTTCTTTGTTTTATGGATGGTTTATTATGATATTCGCGCATGGAATGAGAGAGAATTTGGGGTTAAAAAAAAAGCTCACACACACACAGAATAGGGACTGTTGTGGTGAAAATTCAACACACACAGAGAGAGAGAGAGAGAGGATGGTTCAGTACTGCCCCATGATCCCGCCTGCTCAAGATTCTGCCAGTTGCTGGCACGACTGAATCCGTTCTACGAAGAGATAGATATTCTGTGTTCTCTCCCCCGGTACAGTAGGCCAGAGCGGCCCACCCTTGTGTCAGAAACCTTGTCAGTATTTTGTCCGATGTTTTTTTCTTTTTCTTTTTCTATTTTTTCTTTAATCCTGTCTTTACAAAAGGGCAACAGCCGTGAGATATCATAGTTTAGTTCACAATTGAGTAGTGTTTTACTCGTCTGCTCTCAGTGGAGTTCGACCTCAGGTCCGTATTTCAACAGTTCAGGTGTGTGCCGACGGAGACAGGCCAGTTGGTACATCCCCTGAACTGTTGAAATACAGACCTGAGCTCGAATACAGACCTGAGTTCGAACTCCACTGACAGCAGATGAGTGACTTTACACTTATCAGGCGTATAACCAACTGAGTTATAGGCCCATGCTTGGAAAGACTTTTACTTCAATTCTGGTCGGATCGTTTCATGAAGGAGTTGCAGTCAAAAGAGTAGGAATCATTAATACACCGAACCATCCAATGTATAGTCGGTTCTCAGTGCTGGTAACCCAGTCACGAAAACGACCCCATAAATTTGAACTTTCACGTCTTTCTAAAGGAATATGGCAGGTTCTCGGCAGTAGAGTGTAGACCAGAGTTGAGTGGTCCCCACACGTTGGGCCAGAAACTTTGCCATCAATATTTGGCTGCCAACATTTTACTTTCCACTGCCGACTTTCGAAGCGTTGTGGTAGTGAAACCAGCTTCTGAGGGCCTCCCCACGCAGGACACGAAATGGGAAAAAAAAAGCACGCGCATCTTCCCACGGAAACCGAAAAGAATTTGTCCGTTTACTAGCAATAGTAATGAATACATCTTTCCAGCTTCTGTGGGAAGATGCACTCGTTTAAAGTCGTTTTCTTTTTCTTTTCTTTTTTTTTGTTGTTCCGTGTGCTGTGTGGCGAGGGCCTTTGTCTCAACTTATTCTATATTTTATGATCCAGGTGATCATTGCGCCAACATTTCAGCAAGACCAGATATTGGAAGATGTCAGAGGGTAGAGTTAAGAACAAGTAGTTGATGAGGTAAGGGAACTTTGATCCCGTCCTGCCGAGAGAGAGAGAGAGAGGTGGTGGAGATCGGTGGTGAAGCTGGAAGGCTGATCAAGCATGACAGGGACAGCACACATCGCGCGCATCGTAGACTCACACTGTACACGACGCGCTCGAGGACTCGCAATGAAGAGTGGAGAATGAGTGAGAATTCGGACTAGCTCAGTTGGTACACACCCACATACTGCAGACCTGAGTTCGAATTGCAATTGAATCGCAATTGAATCAGATGAGTGAAAATAACTCTGGATTTACCTGAGGTCGTTCAGTCCAAAGATGGCATCACAAGGCTAAAGAATAGAGAGATTGTAGACTGCTGCTGGGGTATTACCCCCAGCGGACTGTGGACAGGACTGGTACTGGTCCCGGTACCATGACTGGACGCGGCGAACAGACGCGCAACAAAATATATTCCCAGCCTCTAGCCGGGGGCCAGAGTTCGGATCGAGTCATGAAGGTCGTTGCAGTGCTCAATTCTGAGGTTTGTGGAACATCAGAAGAAGTGTGTAGCAGTTGGTAAGTCATGCAAAAGGTGTTTGATGATCTGTTGTTGTTGTTGTTGTTGTTGTTTGTGACTGTTATGTGTGTGCTTGTTCTGAAATTCTTTAGAGGAGGAGCACCTCGGAGAGTGCTGTCACGACTGGAGTGAGCAGGGAAGGCTTGGCGCATGGAGACTGGCAGGAGCCGCAGAACCTATGCAGCTTAGCGCAGTGTTTGAGATCGGCTGCAGACAGCAATGACTCGGAAAGTATTAGTTGGGGTGGAGAAGCTGGCAGCAGTGGTGGCAGCGGTAGCGGCAGCCTCAAGCGGCGGCTGATGGAAGATGTGCTGGCAGAGAATCATGTGTTCAAAGGCGCACGACCTGCAACGTATACCCGGGGTCCTCTCCGGTAAGAGCCTCGCAATGAATTCAATGCTTTTTTGTCGCTCGAGTAGTTTGTTTTAAATTGCATCTCCGAGTCGAATCTATGATCAATCCCTCGCTAGCTGAGGAGAAACAAAGCAAGCACCTTGGGTTTCCGCCGAGATTTCAAACTCCTTGTGTGTGTGCGTGCGTGTGCGTGCACGAGCGCATGTGTGTGCGTGTGTGTGTGTGTGTGTGGAAAATAGTGATGAAACCGTGTTCATAGGTGTGCTGAGGCTGATTTCTTTGGAGGGCGAGGGGCGGAAAGGGGGACTCTGAAAGAGGGGGGGGGAGGGGGGAGAGGGCTGTCTATAAACTGTCTCCCTGCTCTTCCTTAGGTAAGTGTTTCCACATCGTCAGGCAACCCTGTGAACTTTTGCAGGAGTCTTTGGCTGCAGCTGTGGCCACTTTTTCACATTGCTAGTGAAGCTGGGTCTGTGAGAACTTGAGAAGTGTGTAACTCATGGCTTGGAATGTGGTGTTGGATTATGCAGAGGCCTTGACCTGCGCTCATCTCCTTCGATATCATTTCCGAAGAATGCGAAACTGCGGTGTTTGCCGGAGAAGCCGGATGCAATAGTTTTTCATCAACCGGCAGATCAGCCGGCTTGGAAGGATCGACTGGCAGCAGATGGAAGCCAGCTCAGGAGTTGGCCCCAGGTTGGACCTACCGACTCTGCTCTATACTCTCAGAGTTTGATGATGGGCGAGGCAGGGGATGTCGTACGGATTGCCGGAGGTGGAGCTGCTGTGAATAGAGCGGAGAACGGTGGAGGAGATGAAGGCACATGGGGGTCGTCGCCCGATCAACCGGAGCATTCTCTCTCTCTGTCAATGAGAGACAGTTGGCATGGGTATTCCAGTAGTCAGGAGCCGGGATGCCCACAGCTGACGTCGTCGAGCGTAGGAAACAGTAGCAACAGCCCAACGAGCAGCAACGCGCGGGCAGGTAGAAGTGCCATATCGCTTGCCTCCGCTGGAAGCACTGTGGGAGCAGCTGATGAAGCCATGGACGATGGGTGGTTGCAAGCAGTGAATCTTGTCAGGAACATGATAGAATACTTCGGCGAAGATGGAGTTCGTCAAATTGCGCGCATTATACGAGAGCAGGTGTGTTTCAATCCCGTTGAACGCTAAAGCCCCCCAAATTGCGCGCATTTTATGTTTTATGCGTTTTCCTTTTTTCATGACCAAAATGTACCTCCTTGCCGTTGTATTCCTACTTGTTTTTTTTTCCTTACTCTTTCTCATTTTTTGTGAAGCCCTTTGTCATTTTTGTGAGCTACTCTCTCTCTCTCTCTCTCTCTCTCTCTCTCTCTCTCTCTCATGAAGGAGTGCTTTTTTGTTTGGACTCTGGAGCCTCTGGTTGTCTATGTTCTGCGTCATGGCGTCCGCCGAGGATTTTTTTTTTTTTTTAACGACTTGTACCTTTGCTGCTTCAGAAATGAGGGAAAATGCCAGTTCCCGAAGATTTCGGAGGCCTGGCCCGATGACGGCTGCCATTGATAAATCTAATCGGCGGCCGTCGTTTTGTTTCGGCCTTCTGAAGCGTCGGAGGCTGGCTATTTTCCGAACTGACAAAGGTACTAGTGGTTTAAGGAGGAATTCCCTGCTACCAGAGGTGTTTCGACTCTTGGCTACATTCCTCGCAAAAAAAAAAAGAAATCCTTTGTGAAGTTTGTGGGCTTGTGGTGTATTTCCTCCTCATTCTCCTCTCTGACGTTGTTTTCTGCCTGGAAGCCTAGTAGAGGGCAAGGGAGTCAGGCCGGGATCAAAACAGTGGAGCTTTGCCAAATACTGGATTTACTGGCTGAAAGACACTCCCATGATCTGATGCAAACAACTGCGGATGGTGGCGTGTGAGAGAATTGGTCGGCAGGTCCTCTTTTTTTGAGGGGATTGGGGATAGAAATATCTGATCGTTTTTTTTGCGGAAATTGATGACTGAGGGCACATTTGGTCTGACTTGTGTGTGCAGGAAGCTACCTACAGGCAGCAGGTGCGAGCACTTCATGAAGCCCTGCAGGTTTGTCCTGTTCTTTCCCCACTTAATGCTTTTTATTCAGATCCCCGCTTGAGCTTTCGAGGTTGTGGTCCTTTGTTTGTCCTTCCTGCTAGTTGCCACTTCACCACCGGAGCCCATCCCATCAGGCTGAAATTGTACTACATGCTGTCATGCTGACAAATGCGTCGATGGATGGATCGAGGGGGATGACATGATGTTGAAACTCACTCACTGAATTCCAAGTACCACCAATAAGTATCATTTGATCGTGAGGTTGCAGTTTTGAAGTATGCTTCCTCCGATCTGACCACCTTCCAGATTCCGTCTCTCGTTTGAAAGCCCGAGCCGTGCAAGTCACCGAGCTGCAATGTGTTTTTGTTGGTGCAATTTTCTGTGGAGGGTGGTTTGTTAGAGGGGTTTTCTTTGTTGAGGAGGGGGGGGGGGGGGGGGNCAGCACTGAATTTGCGCGTGCATGTATGGAGGGAGGGAGGGTGTGGCAAAAGGATGTGCGTCGAGAGTGGCAGCACGCTTGTGGAGGGAGGGGGGGAGGGAGGGGGGATGGGATTTGTGCTGTGAGTGGCAGCAATGGAGTTGTGTTCTCGCTTGTATAGTGAGTGAGAGTAAGGGACGGGGGGCGCTGAAAGTGGCAGCAATGAATTTGTGTTTACAATTGTGGAGGGAGTGGTGATGGGATGCGTGTTGGGAAAGAGACGTATTTGCGGTGTGTTTGTGTCCTGAGCAACAGTTTTAATTTGCTGGGCTTTCATCGGCATGTTTGATTTGCAGGTACAGCATCATCTTGCAGCAGAGGCGCGCTTAGGGAAGGTATCGAGAGTAAGAGGGGGAAATAGCATATGATCTTGTCCTTGGGGTATAGAAGGCTATTGTCAACTGACGGCAACAGACGAGGTACCTCCCGAGGGAGGCTCAGTCTACTAGCATACTCAAGTTTTGGTGGTATCTGGACGAAGAGGAGAGGGAAAGCGTGGAAGAGTTTGGCTGGGGGGGGGGGGGGGGGGGGGGGGGGGGGGGGGGGGGGGGGGAGGAGATTCGCAGGGGATGGCAGGTGGCGTATGTCGGAGAAGGCTATGGAATCACAGGCAGGTAGATAACATGTGAATTTGATGTGGTGTATTTTGAAGGCTCTGGATTGTAGATGGTTTGATGATGGAGATTTAGAGTTTGACATGCAAGGCCATGTCATTGATCAGGTATTGCTTCGCATGCTGTGTTTGAGTTCTGTCGGGGACTGCCATCTCTCCACAGCATGTTGTTTCTTGTCTGAAGAAGGTGTAATCTTAGCGCAATTGCTCAAAGCTTGGCTTCTGGCTTGGAATCAGTTTCAGGTTGCTTGACTTGCACATGTGCTACTTCACAGTGACTCGTTACTATCATGAATTTTACGGGGGGTTAGAAGTCGTGTGCAACGCCGGGCCATCCTGTTTGTTATTTTCATTCAGGCTTTTCTTGCCACTTTTTTTGGTCAAATATCGGGCCTGAGGCTTCAGACGTGCCCGGGTTACGTGCTGTTAGCTGATGCCACAGAATTGCTTTTCATCTTTGCCCAATGAATGGCAACTGCCTTGGTGACTAGGTTCATTCAATAAGGGTGATGAAGGGGGGTCGTTATGCCGGCCGGTCTGGGTGTTTCTGGCTCCTTGCTGTATGACTCATCCACGAGGCTGTGATGGCGCGTGTCCTTTTCGTCAAGGTGCTAGCGCTCCACAGTTATTTGTCGACGTTACCTCCTTTGAAGCAGAAAAGGGGTTAGGACTCGGGAGGTAGAGTAGGAGGGTTGGTCTTGTGCCAGTTCCTCGGTAGGGTGCAGGACACGGAAGGCATGTACGAAAACCTGATTTGGGTTTCACACGATGCTGCTAGGCATAGAGCGTCTGCATCACATGCGAGTAACCATTGGATGCCAGCAAAGACATCCCTTGAGGAACGGCCGAGAGGGCGTACGTTCCCCCTCGGTTGAGCGTATCAAGGGATGGGATCAGGGAGAGCTACAGGATACTGACTTGCCAACCACTTCATTCCACCGAACATAGCACGGGTGATTATAGCAGCTGTACGCTGTGTCATTCTTCCACACCTGGTAGGGCTATACAGTGACCCCTCACTGCCTCCAGGCCTGGCGTGGAGTATTTGCTGGTATCAGATAGCTCTGTTTGAACAAGCAGATAGGAGGAAACTCTGGTGGAGGCTCGCAGTGATACCGATGTGCAAGTCGTTGGTCCGACTTGGGTGTAGGGGCGATAGACTAGGCAGGCATCGTATACCCGGAGGAGCGCAGCGGAACGAGAACCCACCCGCCATGCATATTTCTCCCAGTTTTCCGGGATCGTGGTGTGGTGGGCCTGAAGCTTGGCCAAAGCTTCCAGGATCATTGTGGGCCTAAAGCTTGGCCAATAGCTCTCTCTATGGTAGCTTAAGAAGCCAACACTGGACATGTGCTAGTACTTAGTGCTCCTGCAGCAAAAGAACTGAGTGCGAGCGCAGCCCACCGTCAAAGGGTTTGAGAGGCTGATTTGTTTTTCGTGAAGCTGTTTGTATAACTTTGTAATGAGATCGGCTTTTCCGTCGATTGTTTATCTCCATTCGAAACCACGAGGTAGAGCAGCAGGGCTAATAAGGGATCTGGATGCCAGGGTATACTACCGTGAGCTAATGCCTGGAGGAGGACTGGGAGCATCTGCTATATTGTGCAGGTACGCAATCAGGTGGTGGCTTGGATGCGTGAATGTGGTGGTCCCGGACATGGTGTCCTGACGTAGAATGTGTGTACCAATGATGACATTGGTCGGTAGAATTGTAACATTACTTAGCTACACGTATGATATGTGCTATGATATGTGCATACGAACGGACATTGATAGGTGGAATTATAACACCATTCCATGATGACAAGTAATGATGCTACCACCACACGTCTTCCCTTTTCTGCGGAAGATGAGATGAAGAGGCTTAGAGGTAGCGTTCTGTACAGCAATACTTTTGAATGGGGAAGCTGTGTTTATCGATCGCTGATGGCCGAGAGGCTTGTGTTATGGGGGACATAAGCACCTAGTGTGGTGATCCCCCACACTGTTTGGTGTAAGTGTTTGCGATGATGACACCTGGCCTGTATCTTCTTGGGCCTCCTTCAGGGCATGCAGTGGCCTTAAGTGCTTTTGCCGACGGAGTTGGTCGTTCATTTATGCAGAGGTTTACATACATGAATCACATGATGAGAAACGGATGACATAGGTTTCAGGTGGTGCGCCTGCCAAACGGAGCTGGTGCGACTGGGTGTCCGCTTCAGGACGTTCGATCCCCGGGGAGGATGCGTTCAAACGCCGAACCTCTTCACGGATGTGCAGCGCCAAGACGTACATACTCTTTCTGATTGATTGATTGTCAGGCTTGTATTGTTGAAGCAAGGATGCAAAGACAGGTAGGGTATTCTTGAAGCAAGGATGCAGAGACACGTAGGGTGTGGGGACGGAACGGGTTCCGTGACTGGAGGGTGATGTCTGTGACTAATAAGTGGGGGTTAGCATTTCCAGCACAAGCCTATTGGGATGGCGATGGCAGTCGTATACTCTGGGTACGGTGTCGACAAGCTGCAGGTGACGGCAACGCGAAGGTCACAAATGGCTGTGGGGGATAGCGCTTTCTCGGAGACCTTCCCCTCCAGTTAGTTTGGAGCATGATCGTTGTGTTTTGCATTTCAGCAGCACCATGCAATGAACCATTGGATGCCGATAGTGACATCTATTGACATCTATTGACATCTATTGACATCTTTTGACATCTATTGACATCTTTTGACATCTATTGACATCTATTGACATCTCTTGACGAAGGCGGAGGAGAGGGCGTACTTTCCTCTTTGTTGAGCATATCAAGTGACGGGGCCATGAATGCAGAGGAGAGGGCGTACGTCTCTCTTTGTCGAGCATATCAAGTGATGGGACCAGGGAGAGCTTCAGGCTAGTGACTTGCCAAGCCATTGCTAGAAGGGGGAGGAGGGAGGAGGGAGGAGGAGGGGAGGGGGGGTAATAACTGGGAACCTTGTCATAACCAGGGGTACACATAGCTTTGCGAGCGCAAGGTTATTGGGATGGTGATGGCAGCCTCATAGTAACGAGACGCTTCTGGCGACGACAGCAAGGCGAAGGTTGCAAAAGGCCTAAGTTGGAATTGGGCTTTATCGGAGTGCTTTGCATGACTGCAGCAAGGAGGTTATTGGGTTGTTGGTGGAGCTAGAACTCGGAAGCATGTCAGCTTCCAGAGTTACGTACTATGTCCAGTAAGGTGCGGGTTTGTGTGTAGAGGCTGGAAGAATCTGGTTGTGATTCTGGTAGAATGCGAGGCGAATGATGCTAAAAATTTGAAAGCGTATGCTCCGCCCGTGGACTGACCACGGGGGCATGGTCGCTGTGAATTTACCAGAGACCTGCTGTGAAGGCACTTGTGTCACCTTGTGCTCTATATTGGGTGGAAGATGAGAGGGGCACCATACTTGAGGGTTGTTAGGGTATTTCACCTTCAGGGGTGCATGCCGATGATGCCGTGACCGAACCAGACTTCCCAGAAGTTGCGACTTCGGGATCACTTGTATAGCAGATCTGTTGGGAGTATAGCAGATCTGGCGGGAGTAGCTAAGAAGAGTATAGCTAGAAGAGACGACATTTCTCACGAAGCTGTGATTGCTGCTATTGACTATCCGATGGGAATGCAAGGGGGGCACTTGTAGTCTAGTGCGGTATGTGACATTGCGTCTGCTGTCCGTAGGATCCTACATGCGGTTCGAGTCTCCCACTTGTTCACACCCCAATTGTCTGAATCAGAAAAGGGCGCAGCAATAGTTAAGCTTGGATCATGTCAAGCCGATTTGTCATGCGAGTAAGATCGGTGGGAGTTCTAAGGTGCTGGAAAGGCAAGGCTACTTACCAGCAAGGAAAGAAGCAACCCCCTGCTGCCCCCCCCCCCCACCCCCCTCCCCCCCCGGTTCTTTCTCTTCCACACACACACACGTGGGTTCTGAGATTGCCAAGTTACGGTGATCACTAGGCACTAGGGTACTGCAATTGTTAGGTGCCTCCTCCATACACACACAAGGTAGGATAGGGAGCTCCCTCCACACAACCACAAGGGTGAGGTAGGTACCTCCTCAACACACAACACAAGGGTTCTGAGATTGTCAGGTCACGTTGGTAACCACGGTCTTCACCCGAATCGGTCATTATAGCTGTACGTACTTGGGCCAACTTTCACACCAGATGCGGCGATAAAGACCGGGCGTTTTATTCGGGTGAAGACGGTAGGGTATTGTTTTCCCTGATGAAGCTTACCTTTCAAAGGTACTGTAGATGGTCTGTTGCCTTTGGCTGATGTGCTTTTGAGTAAGCGCAGGTTGACTTCCCCTGAACACAACGCACGCTGATAATGAATGTATACACGCCATCTTTCCGGTCGGGTGCAAGCCAAAATGAGGGTGCGTTGTGTTGGGGGGAAGATGGTAGCTTCCTGACGAAGGTCTGCCGACATGGTTCACTGCTTCTCTCTCTAGTCTTGATAATTTGCGCATCAGAGAGTGGAGCTTGCAGGCAATTGTCTTTCGGGTTGTGCTCGCGCTGCGTCGTGTATATCTCAAGAGTTTCTCTTTTGCTTTTCCTCTTGGTTCTTGATATACGTCGGTGAACAGAAAGGCTGCCAACTGCTGAGGTGGCCGCCGTCATACAGGAGACGGGGGAGGGGACAGAGGAAAGAAGTTAGCTGGTGGGGCGTGAAGGCCTCAAATGCGGGGAAGGGGGCGGGGGGGGGCTGGGGGTGAGGGGGTGGAGGGATGCAGGGCTGAGGGGATTTTGGAAATGAGAGTGAATCTTGTGTTTTTAAGGCAGGGGTGGGTGTACGTATGCTTGATTCTTGATGACTTTGTTGAACAAGTAGTTGGCAATAAAAGGTTTTGGGAGTGATGCGTCACACCCCATAAAGTCTCTGAGGATCCCAGACAGCTCGGCGGTCGCTGGCTAGGGCGAGCGGCCGTACAGACTGACGGGTAGGAACGAATGTAAGGAACGTGGAGATGGAGGCATCAGAGGCAGGGGAGCAATTTTTAGCTGAATTTAGTCCAATTACAGGAATGCAACTGAAGTGCAAACTGGGGTTCATTTACGATGCCCCTTATCAGAGATGAAGAATCAGATAGCTCAAGATCAGCAGGACAGCGCGATGTATAGAGTATGGAAGTGGTCCTCGCCGCATGGCAGGCTCTGACAGGAGTGTGCGCACACAACGGAAAGAGGGAGGAAAGAGAGGGAGAGGGTTGTGAAGAGACGTGGCGGGGTGTGTGTTAGTAGTGGGCAATATCTTCTGTTCGCTAAGGGGAGGTCGTTCCCTTGCTTCATGGTTTTACCTTTTGCAGGCTTTGCTTGTGTTTTTTTTCTTGAAGTTTTTTTGCCGTTCTTTTCTTCTTCGCTGCATTCGCTTTGCCCTGCCCAGAGAAGGTGGGGGGGGGGGGRGGGGACCCTGGAATAAGACATGGCTTCACTTGGGCGGAAGCTTTCCAGCTTTGAAAGTCACCAAGGAAAATTTTTTCGTTCTTTAATTTGTGCAATTTGTGAAAGCCGCATGGCTGCGCATTTTATGACCTTTGTGTTTCACAAGAATCCCACTAATGAACTGTTCGGCACACATGGATATTGGAGTAATATGGGGATGGATTTCTCATTCGATTTGGGCCTGATGTGACTGATTCGCGTGGGGGGTTGAAGAAATGTGGATGGGTGGTGGATTTTGCGCCTGCGACTGAAGTTCACTGAACTGAAAAGTTTGATGAAGGGCACACTCACATCAGGACTTTTTGCACTGTTCTTTGGGCGTAATTGCCGTCAGATACGTTCTGGGTTTTGGAATGGCCACAGTTGTGGTCAAAATGCATCAAGGAGTGATTGTAATGTGGGTGTAATTCCGGTCAGATACGTTCTGGAATGGCCACTATTGCGGTCAACATACATCCAGGAGGGGAGATTGTAATTTGGATGTAATTGCAGTCAGATACGTTTCATAAGGACCATGATTGTGGTCAAAATACATCCAGGATTGTGGTCAAAATACATCCAGGAGCAATCGTAATTTGGACATAACTGCAGTCAGATACGTTCCCAAACGGGTACAATTGCGGCCAATGTACATCCAGGAGCAATTGTTATTGCTGTGAGATACATCCGGAGAACTCACTCCTTGTGCGAGTATATTGCTCTTAAACCGCCAGTTACGCCAGGGGGGCTTAGGCCCCCTCTCTGGGGAGGCTCTGAGGCAAATGCATATGGACCTGCACGGTGCACCAATTTGGCCACCGCGTTAACGGCCTAAAACCTTGGAGGTGCTGGTGGTTTTTTAAAAAGTATGCTCTCAAGGATCTGTAACCTTGTGAAATGTCTAGTTTTTTTTCCACCAGAAGTTGCAGCTTTGCTTGGAATTGAGAGTACTTTCAAATTGAACGAGCGTGGGTTCAGCAACAGGTGGTGGAAAGCCGAGTTATTCCTGTCGGATGAATGGAGGAAAAGTGGCTAAGTGTTGGTTCAGCAACAGGCGGCGGAAAGCTGAGTGATGCTTGTCGGATGAATGGAGGAAAAGCGGCCAAGTAAGATTCAATTATAGTTTCTGTTCTGATATGCTTAAAAAGCACCAGTACTTCCGAAAGTCGTGCCCGTTAACGCGCCATGATTTTAGGAAACGTACGGGACACTACAGGAGCGCCCAAATTCATCCAACTAGAAACGTTTCTACTTTCTGCGGCCTATAGCTGGGCCAATGTGTGGTGTACACCACACTTTGGAGGCCGCCGACTTTTTTTTTGAATGGTGCCCCACGCGGCACGGCCCCTCCGAGTTTTGCTTGTGGTGACAAAAACTTTCTGCAAGGCTGGGGCCGTGTACTTGCGGCTTAAGATTAGGAGCTTCCCTCGAAGAGAGGCGTGCGATGTGCGTGCTCAGCCGACAACTCTGCGCCAATTATTTGCCGGAGTCCCTGCGCCCTGAGAGGAGACGCCTGGTCGCTGATAGTCCGAGGGTCCCATGAGCACGACATGCTATTCTGTGGTAGCTTGGTATATCCCTTTAGTTCCTACTACCTAGTACTCCTACCATGGTATCATGAATAGAATGCGTGGTCATTATCACTGTATCTAGACTGAAGATTGCACTGAATACAGCTATAATGCCAGGCCGTTCTATTCGGTTGAAAATGGTAGCTATGCATTCTACCCACTGCTATGTTGTGCTAAGAGAGCATGGGGCACCCTTTGTTTTTTTTTCAATCCAAAAAGGGACACAGCCCCATCTATTGTGGGGGCCATCAATCCGGTTGCTCATCCCCAACAAGCAGAAAACAAGTTTACACGGGGTAGGAGAAGAAAGTGGAAACGCCCCTCTACCCCCGTCGCTCTACCGTCTACCCCCGAACATAACACACCCTAAAAATGAATGTATACAAGCTATATCGCGGCCAGATACAGCCAAAATGAGGGTGCGTTGTGTTCGGGGGAAGATGGTAGTCACGACACAGCGGGGGTTGGACAGGGCATGCCCTGGTAACTCTCTGCGTAGCCTCTTCCAGGGGGCATACGGTGGCCGGGACATAGAACAAGGTACCCACACGCCCACTATATGCACTTCGGAAAGGGGAGCACCCCCGGTACCATTGGCCGCCTCACCATCCACTACTAGGCCTGACCAACATTTCCCATATTTGTCCACCCCAACCGTTCCCTCACTTGTTGTTGCTACCGGTCCCGTCTTTGTGTAATACCATCACCTTTGTGTAATACCATCACCTATTCCCCTGGCCTCAGTTGTGGCCACCTGGATGTGCATTGGCTGCAATTGTAGCCGTTTGGGAAACAAGACAGTCCCCATTTTTACGACTGTCTTGTTGCTTTCCTTTGTTTTTCTCTTTTTATTTTTACAGCCTTGAGATATCATCATTGAACTGACCAGGCCCAGGTAATTCAGAATGATTTAATTCTGGCTTCTAGTTGCATCTGGAATTGAACTTGGCATCTATATAGTTGTATGTGGAGTCGAAAATGTGATGCATGCGGTACGTCTTCTTGAGGTTCTTGTCAAGTCCCTCGGGGCCGAGGTCCCACTAGCAAAGAGGATTGGATTAACCACCCGAATCCGGGTGGGTTTAAAGCAGAGATGCAGAAAAGCAGATCAATCGTGATTTCCGGCACCTTTTCACAATCAAGTCCAAGTACGGGCGTGAAATCTTTGCTACTGATATGTTGAGGGCTACCTCACTTCTCTGTTTCTTCAAATGTCTAAAGGGTTGTCTCTACTGTGTCATTGTAACATCCTCTTGTCACCCTCCTACCCCTCCATCCTCTGCCCCAACAAGATATACACACACACGTACGCATCTGTACGTGTGTGCGCGCGCACCCGCACACACTCACACAGCAAGGAAGCTGCAAAGGCTGGAACGAGGACGATTGACGGATGGAGCGTGGGACAGGCAGTGGCAGCAGCAACCCCCAAAACAGAGAAACACACACACACACACACACACACACACGCACACACACCGAGTCATGCTTTTGTTTTTGAATCAACTTCATGATGAATTGTCGGAAGTCCGATGAAACAGTCTGGCATGGTAAATTAATGCTTTTCTTTGTGGAGTTGTGTATAACGAACATGGCGCGGGAGAGAGAAAGAGAGGCGGGTAGCAAAAGGGAAGTTTTATCCTCTTTTCCTGAACACAGCGGGAAATTGAGGGGACCCAGGTACCATGACCATTCGAGCGTCCAAGAGACAGGATATAATGAAAATTTGGTGGATCCAACTGCAGCAGGGCCCACCAAGGCTGTTTCTTATTGCTTGTTCTGCATCTCATGTCACTGATCGTATAATCAATCTGTTAAATTCTTTTCTTTTTGCGATTGTTTTTGTTCATCATACTAAAGGTCCGCCTGATATTGGCAAACAATCTCAATGCTCTTGACAATGTCTCTTTTGAGCTAACTGCCATGGACAACCATCACATCACTACTTTTCCGTATCTCACTCGAGAAAATCAATCCGTCAGTCAAATAAGGGGAACGCGATTGACGACTAAACTTAGTAAAGATCATCAACC